TTTCCTTGTGTCTTGTTTTCTTCATTCTCCCTTGCTCCCTTAGGGGTGAGACCAGTGAAGTATCTTAGATGGCTGCTCACAGGCTTTTAAGACCCCAGATGCTACTCACCAAGGTAGAATGTAGAACATTTTCTTTATAAACTATGTTATGCCAGTTGAACTGGACGCTCCCCGAGACCATGGTCCCCACAGCCCTCTGCCCAGCAATTCAATCTCTCAGGGAGTTTGGAAGTATCCTTGGAGCTTCCATGACCTTTCCTTGTACAAGTTGTGCTGGCTTCCCCAGTACTGTATACTGTCTTACCCTTCACCAAAGTTACCACTTATCTGTTGTCTGTTTAGTTCCCCCCACCCCACTCATCCCTCGTAACCAACAAAGATTATTTCTTTTTGTGTGTAAACTTTTACATGGGTTTTTACAGTACAGGTCTCATACAATACTTATCCTTTTGTGACTGACTTATTTCACTCAGCATAATGTCCTCCAGTTTCATCCATGTTCTGAGATGCTTCACAGATTTATCATTGTTCTTTATCTTTGCATAATACTCCACTGCATGTATGTACCATAGTTTGTTTATCCATTCATCTGTTGATGGGCATCTCGCTTGTTTCCATCTTTTTGCTATTGTGAACAGTGCTGCAATGAATATAGGTGTGCATTATGTCTGTTCGCGTGATGGCTCTTGTATCTCTAGGATATATTCCTAGGAGTGGGATTGCATTTTGTAGTGCTTTTTATTTGTGGTGGTGACGTTTTCTTTGTTCCTCTTACGCTCCTGTGCTGAGTTCCTTTAGTTTGTGGAGTTTTTTTTTTCATTTCTTTTGTTTTTATAGGTTTTGTTTTTTACTGAAACTTTGTTTTTCCTCTTTACTTTGATGAGAAGGTTTGTTACTTTCTTTGTGGTTACCTTGAAATTTACCCTTATCTTCCTAGGTTTGAACCAGTCTATTCTTACTTAGTATTACCTTGCCTTCCTCTCTATTAGAAGGTTCTATACCTACACCATTTATTCCCTCTTTTATTGTTCTGATGCTGTTGTCATTTACAGATTAACGTGTCTGGTTCCCTGTTGTAATTATTCTGGTTTTGCATAGTCCTTAAGAGTTCATTTCCTAGGCTGGTATCTGGCTAGTACAATTCCGTGTCCTATATTCAGCCTGCGGTCTGATGTTGTTTGTTCTCAGATCTAAGGACTCCCTTTAATTAGTCTTGTAAGTTTGGTTTGGTTTTTACATAGTCCCTTAATTTCTGTTTATCTAGATTCTGTTTATTCTAATTTCACCATCATATTTGAACGAGAGTTTTGCAGGATATATTATTCTTGGCTGGCAATTTTTTTCTTTCAAGGTTTTATATATGTCATCCCATTGCCTTCTTG